GTTTCCGTTTTCGTATGCAGGTTTTTGTTTTCAAATATAAAAACTACCACCTTCTTCTTTTATATATAATTTGACATACAAAAGAAACAATTCAAATTTTCAAAAAATTTATTTCTTTTATTTATTTTAGGACAAAAACAAAAACAGACAATACAAAATAAGCAAGACAAGGCTTCAATAGCTAGCTGCCAGCAATTTAAAGCTAAAAATAATAAAACAAAAAAAAACCATAGTCAGCTAGCTGCCAGGGCTTCTCTCTTCAGAGATTATGCTCAACAGATAAATCCCCATTGGAAACATGTCATGCGCAGAAACCAAAAGCTCCACAGAATTGTTCAAGCGGAACTCTCAGCAAAAGTAGATTATAAAGATGTGGGTTAGGAAAAAAGTCCTGAGAAGGTCCATGAAACCATTCATGCGTTAACTCAGACATATAAAGATGTGGGGTGAATCACTCATGCGAAACTCTGCTATCCAAGTTGTTGGCTCATTGTGTGCACTGTAGCGTGTACCTAAATACAACGGCGGGGTAAAATTAGAAGATGTAACAGCAGTATGTTCCACTAACTTAAATTTCGTACTCAGTAAAATGTGTTATACCGAGCCGATTTTTATCATTCAAAAGTCGTTATGAGGTGCTAGTTAACGTTTAATAATATTTTTGAAAATAGAAAAGAAAGAAAATAATGAAATTATGTCTCTAAATAGAAGTTCATATGCACCAGCCAAATATAGTAGAATTGTTTATCAGTGAGATTAATCTGTGAATAAACAATTTTAATTACTTGTGTAAATATAAAGATGTGGGTAACCCACTTTATATACGACTTTTCATGAATCTCGACCTGCTATGAATATTAGTGAGTCGAATGAATAGACACTATTTTGAATAGCGTGTTTTCTGATTGTAAGCAGTGTTTATTTGTCACATTCAGGGGTAGGGGCGGGGAACGGCTACTGTGTCAGTGTATCAAGAAAAAACTGTTGCTCTCTTTCATTATTTTGTATTTCCCCACGCTTAGGACTAGCAGTAAATTTTACAGGTTTTTTATGCTCACATTATTACAGCATAAAGCTTCTTTATTTTACTACTTACTAGGAAAACAATCAATATTTCCCTGCGACATATATAGGTAATCATGCCTCATAAATTATGAAACCTTACAACAAAATTGTTTGTGAGAGATGAGAATAATGCACTCCATAGCAACAGAACTTAACCGATGTTGATTCGAGTATTCATACGGACTATAGAATATTTATGAAATAATGTATTCACTCTGCAAAGAATATCAAGTGTTGTATGAATAGTTTAGACCAGACATAAAACACTTCTGTTTTTAGTAGCATTTAATACACAAGATGATGATGATTTTCTTTTGTAAACTTCAACGCCCTTTGAGTGTTGCAATAAAGAATGATTTGTTTTGATTTGATGTGCCTTAAGCCGGCCACTCACTGCTTCGTATGACCATCGTATGACGAATATGTTCGACGAATCCAACTCCATCTGAGCAATAGATGATGCAACACCGCCTGCTGATTGGCACCTTTGTATTATATTAAGTATATAATAGCTGAGAAAGCTCTGGATGTAATATATGTCAAATGGCTGTGCCATTATGGCTGGGGCGACGAAACCTACAGCCATAATATCAGCACTGGTTCGAAAGGCATGCTCAGCTATGGTTCTGGTAGTGAAAAAAGTATTCTCAGATAAAGACTATAAAATGTAGGTCCAGTGTACAATTGACTCAATTGCACTATCAAGAACCCAGTACATCTTTCGGGACAAGTAGGGGTTAACGTGGTTTACTAGTCAATACAGCCCCTGTTATGGACAAGTGAGAGTAGCTGGCATCTAGCTTAAACACGACAAGACCCTTAGAGGAGAGGAAAGTTACTGTATGAGCTAGTCCATGCTTCAAGCACTTTGAGGTGTAAAATGCTATATATATATAACTAAATTACACTACAATGTATTCACAGGGGATCCTGGATGCTTCTATTGAAGGGGAGGATGACGTAAAGTGGTATGGTCCAAAGGAAGGCTGTTCACAACCCTTATAATCTGCCATTGAATATGATATCTTTTATTAAAGACCCCTTTCATCTCCATGCCCTGTTTATTCTTTTGAACTGTGGATTCTCTCCCGGAATCTGGTATTTCATACCTGAGAACAAGTAGGCTTTTTTCTGCTTCGTCTCTCCTCTCTTCTGCCACCTTAATTTGTTCTTCCCACCTTTCCTTTTCGGCATGAATCCTTGTTTCTTCTTCAATCTTCATCTTCTCCAGTTCCTGTAGCTTTGCCTCTAATTCTAATCTATAAAATTAATAATATTTTTAAAAATAAAATCATATTTACATGTAGATAACCTCTGCTATATACCTGTAATAATCACATTAAATTATTATACAAATAATAATTATAACTCCAAATGATTCGATTGAACTTGTTGAAGTTTATTACAATGTTGAATCTCTATATACTGCATTAATCATTTAAATTTAGTCCTACTGTTTCTAACTGCTAAAATGTTCAAACAATCAACATACTTTTCTGTCTCTAAAGCGTTACTTTTTTGCCATTCTTCTTCCCGTGCAGCTTGTACTTTTCGCACAAGCTCACGTTCTTTGTCAGCTAATGCGGTGCTTTTGACGTCAACTGACTGTTGCAGTACCTCAATTTTTGTTATGTAACCTGAAAAATCCAAAATGACAAGGTACAATTTTCAAGTTGTATGTAGTAATTTGCAAAGTACAAGTTTCACTAATATGCACAGGATCCAGCAAGAAAAAAAGTGGAGGGGAAAAGTATAATGGTTTCCTTCCATTGTCCTGGCTATAATCACTAGACAGTGAGGTGTTGGCTTGGTACATACACCCAAGTGTGACACAGTGGTAATGACAGGGGCTTTCCATTCCCCCTTGCTCCCTGGGGGTATATTATTCACTGCCCACTTGGGGTACCCATTGATATAAATATTTTTTTTCCAAAACAATCAGTAAAACAACAGCAATAACAGTAAATCTCCCAATCTAACTTTATTGGTAGATTTCAAATGGTCACTTCAAATCCTACCTTCAATTTCATTGGCTAATGTGTCTCTCTCGCGTTCTAACTCTCCTTTAACCTTCAGCAGCTCCATCTTCATGTTTGTGATGTCGATCTTGCTTTTGTGAGTGCTCTCCTCCAGTTGTCCGGACAATGACATGTTCTCTTTTTCAAGGTCATGAACTTTAGTGTTCAATAGCCTTTGGGCGTCCAATGAAGATTGGAGTTCTTTTTGTAAGTGGTCAGCCTGATTTTTAAAGGAATCTTTTTCTGCCTTTAAAGAGAAAAATTTATATTATAGCAATTAAGTGTTCCATCTCCTACCAGTATGAATAATTAAGGCTATGAAATGCCAATAATCAACGATGGTAGCATGAACAATAATTACCTAAGCAAAATTTGGTTGACATAAATCATTTTATCATCTGTTTATGGTGACAAAAATACATCAACATCCTACACTTAATATTTACCTCTAGGGCTTTAATGTTAGCAACATGTTCGGACATTTGTCGGGCCTGTAGTCGTGTGACGTGGTCCGACTGTAAACCAAATTGTTCACGCTGTGCACGTAACTCTTCAAGTTCTGTCAGGAGGCCTTTGACCTTCAAATTTAGCTGCGCATTTTCCCGGTGGAGATTGCGGACACGTTGCGTATCATGACTTCCTTCGCTGGTGTACTTGGCGATTATTGCCTCTCTGTCCTTTCGTAGGTTATCAATCTTTAAAAAAAAATTACAAAGAGTTTATTTTTTAAATCTTTTTGTTCATAACTCAACTCATATTCACAATTCAACTTTTCTGAGATAGTTTGTATATTGTACTGTAGATAATTTTCAGTCTTTTAAGTATATTATTATGTTTAAGTGCAATTAATCTTTGTTTTTTATTTATTTCATACTGTATTATTTGTGTAGTTAAGCTTCAAGGATCGGCCTAGGTAGCAAAAGCATAGTGGATAAAAGCTGGGTGCAAAGGTCAAGTGGCAGAAGGTCAGGTAGCTACAGACATGAACCTGAGTGCATGTCATGTTTGTATTTAATGTAATTAGCATTATTACGACAGATATAATATATCCACCGTACTTCTTCGGAAATGCTACGAAGATGATATTGCTAAACACATCAAAATTAAATCAAACAAGAGTATGGGATGTAAATTGATGTTGTTCACAAGTAAATCTACTTGTAATCTATAACTATGTCCTAGAATAGAAAGAAATTTCCTGCATTACTAATGTAACCTTAATGCAAACTCTCCTTAATTCATTAACGAGACAGCTGTATTTCGCATGTTTCATCTAGCTGTAGGGTTTTTTTTCCCAAATGATTTGTTTCGTAACAAATGGTTTATAGTTCACAAACACATCAGCTCAAGATTATTTAACATTCAAGTATATTTCTTCTACCTTGCTTTGTATTTATGTGGCTGTATTGGGAATTAATTTCTCATAATTATTAAAGGTAAAGGTAGAATAACCCATAACTCGCAGGGCCATTGTGCTGAATTGCGTATGGGCGTGGTCCATGACAACCTAGCGGCCGTAAATAGCTGCTTACAGTAGCTGCATGTTCACATCATTCCACAACGACAGGGGCTGAAATGAACCATAGCATCGGGGTAACCCCCTACTCTTCCGAAAGATGCAACATGGGTTCTTTAAAGTGAACACAAGTCAGATGTGCACACTGGACCTCCATTTTAAGTCCTTATCCGAGAAGACTTGGTTCTACCAACCGAACCATGGGTGAGGAGCGGCTGGAACCAGCACCGGTGTTAAGGATGTAGTTAGCGGCGCCCCTAACTTACTGCTCGGCCACTCGACTCGGCCGCACCAATTTTTAAATGTTAAAACAATTCATGCCTCTCGTTAAACATAGCTCTCCATCTTGCAAATTGGTTGTTACACAGCTTTTAGCTTAATTTACCCACCAAGCTGCAGTCTCGCTCCAATTTTGCACCAAATAAAAAAAACTTTTACATTTACCTCTGTTTCATACTGTAGAGTTGTCTCCTCCATAATCCTTTTGTGCTCCGCTTGTTCATGCTCAAACTCGGACTTTAGGAATGAGTGTTCATAGCGTAGTTTGTTGTAGTCGCCGCGATAGTGATCAATTTCGGCACCGAGTTGGTTTATACGTTCTCTGAATGGTTGTTCTAGTTCAGCAGCTACTTGCGCCTTTAAAACCTCAATTTTTTCCGGTATGATAAGCTAAAAGAACAGAAGAATAATTATTATTAATATAAAAGAATTCTTAGCCTCATAGCTCAGTATGTAGAGCTCATCAAGATTTGAGTCCTGATGAAAAAAATGTTTCCCTCAATAATTAATTACCACCTTATTTTTCATACTAAAGTTGCCAGCATCTGATCATTAGGTTAAATACTTTTTATACCTTGTTAAGCAAACCCCGCTGCCCGCCAATAATGATGATTTCGAATAAAAAACGGAAAAATGGAAATTTCAGAAAAAAAATAAAAGTTTTTCTTTATTTTTATTATACCCGCCGCTGCCTTGAAATCTCCAAAAATTACATTTGTATATTTCTTCCTAATTATATAAATTTAAAGAATTTAAATATCCCATTACTACACTGTTTACATTCACCAATTAAATTTTATTTTCATTTTCTCCTCCTGAATGTTTTTGGCAAAACTATTTGTTAAATAAGAAAACAAAATTTTATTTTTATTTTTTTCCACCCTCCTCTCACATCTTAAAAAAAAGTTTGTGAAACAAGGTATAAAAAAAGTCTAGCTTTATCCGTTGGATACTATGTAATTTTAACAAAATTAAAGGGAGTATACCAGCTTTACCTAACTAAAGATCTGTCCACACCAACATATTTGTGTGATGTGCCCATATATCAACACGATGAAGTCATATTACACCCAAATATAGGCATGTCACATTTAATTGTCACATAACCTTTGATAGTGTGGATGGAGCAATAATGTTGGTAAAGCAAAGGAGGAGTTTTTTTCGGCTTCTAAGCGGCAATCCTGTCACAAGATGCTCTACATAGACTGAAGCAGGTCACTCACTGCGGTCGTAAGACCGTCGACTGACAAATCCAATCCCGCTACCTGTGAGCACTAGATGATGCAACGCTGTCTGCTGATTTTTGGTGGCAGTGTTAACAGAAAGTAAAACGATCTGCTGTGCGCGTCGTGGCGTTCTACATACTATATAGCATTGGCCAGGTGCAGTGAGTGCCTGGTTTAAGTCTCGTTATGAGGCTTAGAGATTGGAGTTGTTTTGATCGTGAGAAAAAATCCTGTAACTGTGACAGGTATTGAACCCTGGAATTGGAAAGCAATCATCTTACCCACCAAGCCATACAATTCCACTCCCCTGCTTCTGGCAAAATTTCCACCATTTGAAAGAGACCACACTTACAAAAAAAAGTATAAACTTCTTCCATTACATTAAAATTTGGCTTTGTATGATAGTTAATAATGTCACATGGTACAAAATCAACCAATCAAATGACTGGGAACTATTTAGGTGTGTTATAAAATACACTATTTACAGGAAGATGTATAAAATACCTTTCTCTTTAGCTCTTCAACTTCTTGAATTTTTTCAGCTAAGTCTTGCGATGTTTTCGAGACAAGTAACTGGAATCGTTGTTCGGTGGACGTCTTCTCTTCTTTGACATTTTCTATCTCAGCTGCTAAACGCCTATTTCCGTCCTGTACCCTACACATTACAAGTATTCGTAAGAAGAGCATTAACAATCACTGGATTTGCATTTCAATTTAAACAATAAATAAAATATACCATTTGCACAATCAATTTGATACAAATTAATTCTGCCTTGTATGGCTAGGCTTAAAATATGAACATAGCATTATGTTCATACTTTAAGCCTGGGTTGTAAAAGCGCCATGAGCAATGAATGGTTAACTCAATTATGGAATATTCAATTATGGAATATCCTGCCTCTTTCCATTAAGAACTTCAACTCTGTTGGACAGTAATAACTGCAAGCCTTAAAACCTGTCTTGAGTTTAGAGCATATTGGACTGGGGTTGTATGTTTTTCACTCATTTCATTTTCTTTTTTTCCTATATTAACTTTGCTTTACTTTGGTCTTCGACTAATGAAAGCATACTCTGTTGGTTTTTGGTTATGGTGGGCTGTATTTGAGGGAAATTTTCATTACGGTGGAGGGTAGTTAACGTTGTACCTGCAAGGAATTAGCACTATATAATTAACAAGTGAACACCAATTCTATAGATAAGTGTCTAGAATTAGTATTTGTAATAATATCATAGAGCATAGAATTGCAAGATGTCCGACTGTCCTGATTTTTTACGCACGCAATGAAACGTTACAAAAAGTACTGCCACGAGATAGGGGGCGCCCTATTAGAATTCAAATAGAGTTCGAAACTCAAACATGCACGGAGACATGTTTGATAAGAACGCCTTTTAGGACACGTCCTTTCGTGTCAGTACTTTTTGAAATGGGATTGCGTTTCAACAAAACCATGGCAGTCGGACATCTTGCAGTTCTATACTGTTTGATGATAGCGAGCTTTTGATTTGTTCGACGAGGTGATACTAGGACGGAATCACTCATG